TTTAAGTTCACAAGTATACACATAGTCAATGGGAAAGCATTTGTTAAAAACTGTATAAAAGTGTTATCATGATAAGGGAGACTGTGAATCCTGGCACACTTGTGTTAGTAATAAACATATGAGTGGGGTAACGAATAATGTACACTGTACAAAATGTAAATACGAGTTTATACACAAAGCAGCAGGCAATGTAGAGAGGGGATAAACAGATGTCATTATACTTATATAATGCGAAAAACATCAGATCCAGATTAAGAACTCTGCAAAAAGTATCTTGAACAGTACAAAACATCCTTCCGAATCTATTCGAGTAAGAATCGAGTACAAATCTTCTCAGTAGGTCGCTTACGAATTAGTGAACTTCGTACCTACATTAAACTTATCAGATCGACTAAAGATAATGACGCAGATGAGTTTAACATTCCCATTACAGAGGATAATCAATATGGTTAATGTATAAGGGAAAAAAATAACAAGGTCTAAATTTTAAAAAGTTGTGGAAAGGCTTATTCGAACTTGTCTGGGTTTGGTTGAACAGACAAAAAAGATATCTGAGCTCTTTACACGATAATTTGAAATGTTCCATTATCTGTCGATTGCTTTATTAACATGCGTCCGTCTTTTACTGCAGAGAGAGATACTTGTATGGGTTTTCGAGAAATGGTAGTGTAAACAAAAACTGCTATTCTGAAGGCAAAAAACTATTGATATGCAAACGGAGTACGCGAGGAGCATTGGGGGTCATCGAAGCTTCGAGGTACTCCTTATCTTCAAAACCTGCTCACTGTCTATTCCTCATTTTAAAGGCTCTGCGGGTAAATCAGATGTCAAACGTCCACGGCGAAACTCTAGGAACTGTAGCTGTTCAGTAAAGGCAAGCGTGTGATGTCTTCAGATACTAGTATCTGGTTAAGGGAAGGTAATCCCGACAAAAAAACTCCTGGTCCTCCAAGATATTCTAGAGAGCCAAGTTGCATACGCATGATTTTCCATAGCATACGAGGAGTCACCAGAGGAGCGGGAATATAGCGAATTGTCAAGGTATGAAAGGGGTTCTGGTAAATTGCAACAACTTGACAAGCATTCTATTTTCAAGAATCATTTAAAAAAAAATGACCGGACGAGTGGACAGCACAATACGGGAGGAACAAGCAGGCTTTCGTTAATGAAATCCTTGCATAGATAATATTTTTAAACAACTCAAGTAGATTCTAAAGGAAAGCGAAGGGTAAAATATCACCATTTACATCAATTTCGTAGACTTTGAAAAATAAATACGATCGCAAACCTCCATAAATCTTTACGGATAACTCTGAGACAATAAATGGATTTCAACAAAAGATAGTGAAAATCACCAATCTGTTGTATAAGTTTTTCAAATGCGACATCTCCGATATTAACCTGGCTGTTTTAATGTGAACATGTGAACAAAGCTACATGTAGGATATTTCTTGTTATCACTTCTCTTCATTTCGGCCATGGACTGCTTGGTGAAGGAAGCTACTGCTCAACTTCACAACGGTGGGAGGTCGGTAGATAGCTAAGGGTAACTACAGTATGAGGACTTGTGGCCTGATCAGGGAGGAGAAAACACAAATAGTAATTGATACAGCGCCCTATCGAGCTAGAATAAGTCACTCTAAAACGTTAAACGTTAACAGTAAAGAGATATACAATTAATACAATTAGCATCTATACATTATTGACCAATACAATTTTGAGAAATCCGCAGGAGCTGCCTTAGTATATCTCCCTATGTGTGTATGTCTGCGTGTGTGCTGGAGACATAGTGCCAACTCACTTGAATGCTACAGCACAGAACTCCAGACCATTTTATACTCCACCTGGGTTTAGAAAAGCCTCATACTCACAACGGTGGAGGCATTGTCACCTGGGCACGAAGATAATTTAAGGATTGACCTTAATTTTGACGGCGTATACGGTAGTATGCACGTAGTTGGCAACGAACATATTCTATGGTGCGCGTTAACGCTCCTTAACAAATATTTTCGTTGCAAACTGCGTTCATACTACCGTATATGCCGTCAAAATGAAATTGTAATAGAAAAAAATTAACAATAGGAAATCAAATTACATATAGGAATTTTGTTAAGAAAATGATAACCACATTCAGATTCCTCACAAAAAAATATGTAGCCATGACAAAATCTGTGTCAGACCTTTTATTGAAAAACATGAATTTGAAGAAATTCTTTCTCTGAAGTGAAGGCAGTCAGATTTTTGCATTTCCTCCATTTTCCCGAGTTGTCTCCCTTTTATACCCTACCCTTGGCCTTTAAGTTATACGCAGTCAGAGTTTACTAAGCTGAAGAAGGGAGACATGCATATTAGGCAAGTGGTACTTTAAACTGTATGGTTCTAGAGTATGAGGAAGTTGATCGTTACTCATCAGATATTGATATCAAAACAAAAACGTGGCTTTTTGGCCCAATTTATTACAGGTTGATTTAATGTTTCAACTTAAGCTAAGTGATAATGGGTAGAATTCTAATGATTGACAGGACTTATCGGTTTGTAAAACTGTACAAACTATATACTGTATGTCAATTTAAAGGGACAATTTAGTGAAGTAAGTTGTTTGTATTACCTTGTCACAAAACTCTTCATGCTTATATAGTTTGATACTCCCTACTAACAATTCATGTCGAGAAATTGACAAGAGGCAATTCTATTTTTAATCAGTAATGGAGAAATCCTTAACTGTACAGACGTACAATGTACGTTTAAGCGGCTGCTGTATGTGTAGCTAACAAAATGTCTTTCCAGCCGAGGAGAGAATGTAACTTCTGGCTTTATCTGCCTAGCTTCTCTGAATTCAAGTATATGCATCTATTCTGAATCAACATAATCTTCCAACAGCATCTAAAACATCGTTTTAAATGAGTGATCTAATTTACGTGTAAACCTATTGATATCGTACTTTCTGCGGTTTGAAATTCTCCCTGCGGCACCCTCTCAGTGCGTGCATGCTCTAATTGAACCTGTTCGTTTTTTATTCAAATCCAAATGTGAACATAGGTATGTATTATGATAATTATAATTCTTATTCGCGATGAATTGTGTAAATTCAAGAATGTGTTATGTGTGAACTCAGACTCAACTGACACTGTGTTGTTTTACTTCTCACTGAAAGGCCCGGTTATTGCGCTATTTCGGTCGTAGCTATTTTTATCACCGGCTTTCCCAAAAGATGAAACTGACCACACTGGGCGTTGGCTTCAGGTCATGTCATTATCAACTATGTAAAGTTTTGTTAGGAGATGTGTATTTTCAGTATCATCTAACTTCACTTAATTGTCCATATAAAGCTGTCAATCGAAACAGGACGACGAACAGGAAAAAAGGTTTCTTTTTAATTTGTAACACTTACCCGATAAAAGTACATGTTGTTATCTCAACTAGAAAGAAAACGTAATGCTCAGTAATAACCAAATAAATGCTCTGATGTATTTGTGTGTGTGGTGTGAAAGAAATCTTGAAAACACTTAAGCTATATATAGACGTTTGCCGGTAGTTAGCCTCAGATATTCCATTCCTTAGAGATTGCCAGATGTTTGAAAAAAACGTTTTACATGGCCCATGACCATCAACCTTAGTACCTTTACATCAATCACTTACGTCTTGGTGACCAACAGAACAGATACTTTGGTTCCTATTCAATCAAACTATGTACCCGACGCCAAGAATTATGGCCTTGTGCATGCCAAGGGGAAGAGAGACAACTCTATCTGAACAGAAGCCCATAATACATACACATATATACATGCCAGAATTCTTGGAGACCAATCTGTGAGTTTTACAATCATTTTAAGGGAATTGAAGTTAAAATAAGGGAGGTTTTATTCGCGGCGTTTTTCACGGCAAAAAGTCTATCTTACTCAACTTAATTAATGAAATAAAGCACAAAATCTTTAAGTAACACACTTTGTTTTGACTTTGACAGTTTATTGCTTGTTTGTATATATGAATATGATTATATATATTTAATAGCACAAAGTTTACAAAACAAAATATCACATAGTTGAGATATACTGAAGAAGCAGATTTTACTTAGCCTAACTTAGTTAAATTTCAAAATTTAGTTGGACAGGCCAATATTCACAGCAGCCACGTGCACAGTACTACTGATGTTCAATTTAAACTTTAAACTGTGTATTTGGATGAATCAATAAATAAAGGATAATATTTGAACTTCTTGATAATGGAACAGAATCTTGAAACACGCATTTAACAAGAGGACAGAAATTATCAGCTGTGAAAGTGAAGAAAACTCTGTTCAGCATTTAAACTTTTAAATTACATATTTCAGCATTCAGAACAAAGATTTTTTCCATCTTCTTCATGACATATCTCTTATATATTTACCGGTCGTTCTCTTTACTTTCGTAGTGAAATTAAATTTGTAAAAAAACACTTAGCCGGACATTGTATTTATCAAAAGTTTCTACCAATGAACTAACCTTACAAACATGTTTCGTGCTAATTCTACTGATATAGTGAGGTACCAACTTCACGGGAAATTTTGATTCTGAAGTCAAAGGGTCCTAAACCGTCGCACAGTGATCAAGACTAAGAATGTCAGGCATTCTGTAGTATCACGGAAATTAATGGCAACAATAAGAAAGGATCAAACTAAATCTATAATATGAATTTATTTCAATTGTTCAAATAGTCGCCAAAATCATGTCCGATAGAAAAAAGACCGACCAGCGGCCTTTTATGTTATAAGAGTAATATGCATACAATTGTACATGCCAAAAATTACTAGTTCCTTTTTGGTTTCTTATCCATATATTTTCACCAAGAACTCTGAAATGTTGAAATTAATCAAAGCTTATTTTGCATTTCAAAACTGCAATATATTTTATAGCGTGATCACTTGATGTTCCTGGTTGTCATTCCATTCCACAGGAGGCCAATATATAAACATATAATTATACTAACTACCGAAACTAAATTAGGAAAACAAAAAAGACGAGTTTAATATTCTACGATTTTATTACAAATTATATTAAAATACATGATAATTTCTACGATGAGACTTTACACTTTCACTAAAAACAGACGCAATCTTAATGTTCAATGCTCCAATCTCTCAGGTGTACATTGCATATTAAATAACACCCTCTTTGGGGTATAACATTGTATTACTAAGTCTGACAGTACAGTTGTTCTTACAAGACAATACATAGATTTATAGGCCTAGAAAAAAGTAAACATCAACAGAATGAGTGAAATGTTGGTAATAATTCAAATAATTGTTTTCTCGGTTTTTACCCCATACACTGTAATGTATGTCACATAAAAGCAGTAAAGAGTGATAACCACTCGTTGTTTTTTTTAGTATAACGCAAAACCAAGGTGATATTTGAATACTCTTTGTTAGCATATGGACTTCAAATGATACAAATCTGACCAATCAATTCTGAAGGTAAGTATTTCTTAGAGAACCGGAAGCAGCATGAACATCACATACACACATATCATTTACACAACAGTTACACCATGGTCGGGTCTCATCAGCTCACAAATAAATATCACTTGGACGGAAGTCACCCATTCATGCATAGAAATCAATCCTCATTAGTATAACACCATACAAAAGTAGACACTAACACAAAAGCTGTAACTCCAACAGTGACGTTTACACCACAGACACAGCTCTTCTTTATCATAAATATCATACTTGCTGAAAATAGAATCATAAATAACCTACAGTGTCAAGGGTCTAGCTGTTCAAAGATGCTTTATGGAGGATATCCACTAAGTGATGATAAAAATGTACATCCTATAAAGCAGGTTTATTACCAAGTTTAATGTAGGAACTCCATTTGAGAAACTCACAGGACTGAAAATAAATATCTGGATTACCTCAATGAGAAGAAATACTGATTTTTCTCTGTAATAAATACATGATTTAATTACTTTTGCGATCAAAATAAAATCTTATGTAAGACATGATGTTATAACAGGTATCTGGTGATGTACACGTCTTGTGACATCAAAACACGTTCCGGTGACAACGTCATAACACGTGCTGCTGACAACGTCAGAACACATGTCTCTTGACAACGTCAGAACACATGTCTCTTGACAACGTCAAAATATGTGCTGCTGACAACGTCATAACATGTGCTGCTGACAACGTCATAACACATTCTGATGACAAGGTCAAAAGTATCGCCATTTACACTGCAACGTCTAGAATTTATAACTTGTTTCTAAGATTGTACATCTTGAAGGTTTTATTTTACAAATGGAATATCATGTTTAAAAATATATTATACATGTATCATTTGATTTCCTTCTTAAAAATAAATATATATACAAATATTTGAATTTGTGGTCTACAATCCTTGACATGAAAATATATCTCTAATAATTATACCATAGCATATTTGCAGTGAACAACCGTATCAGATCAAATAGCATTCCCAAAACACAACCTTAAACAGTCACTTGGTTAAATTAATTTTAAAAAAACTTTGATTCTCAATCTGATTAAAATCATCTGTTACATGGATCCGTTAACTTCAAACTATGCCTGAACAAGTACAAAGTCAATGGCGCCATGTAACAGATGATTTTAATCAGATTGTTTGATCCTACATGAGATCATATAACGCAAAAAAATATCACGAGATAACAAAGTTACTGGAAGGATGGTCCTCACATAAAGATAAATTCCAGTGATACATGTATGTAAATCTATCACATCAAATATTTCTCGAGGAATTGAATTGGAATATTTTTTTCAATAAAGTATTATCTGCATTGTGTATTGAAATTCAATTATACACAAGTTTGATATGGTTTCCATAACATCAATATAGGTAAAGGTATGCATATAAAGATAATCACAATACATGATTTGTCAAGTTCTTTTTTTTCAATTGATATAAATAACTCACAAACTCCTGATATGGTCTAAGCAACCATGACATCCACATGACTTACAGTTTAATTCTATTCACAATTTCATTGTCAAATGAATAGTCCTCACTGACTATTTCATCATTCATATTCAAATCTGTGCTTAATTTCTTATAAATGATAACACAAAATATTCAATAAACTGCTTACAACACATTTCAGCTTTGTGTCATCTTAGTTGCATCATTTAAATTTTTGAATATTTTGAAAGTCTAAAAGTCTTCATCATATCGATGCTTGAGTTTGACATTGTACTTGATCCACAAAATCAATTTTAATTTTTGAATGTTCAGAGTGTTGTGTCAAAATCAATTGAACCACTACATAATTGAATATTGCATCCAACATGAGCAGGAATAATTGACACGTTTTAGCCGGAGTAAAAGTGATTTCTTACTTTTCTGTTGAAACAATTACGCAGAGACAATCCCTATAACAAGTTCATGATCTTGAATTAAAATGTGACTTTAGTTTGGTAAAGTTTATCACATCAGGAACTTTTAAAGTGAGAATTTTAATTTCACTAACCTAATATGAGCTCTGATGTAATTAGTTAAATATCTAAAGCTGTGGTATATATCAGGAAAACTTGTCTGTCTTCCATGGTTTCTCCACAATGGTATTCACTAGCTGGTTCTGGAAGATGAAGATTTTGATGCGGTCGAAGACGAAGAGGAACAGCAACAGTACGGATACATACTGGACCCATCCCCACTTGATCATGTACCAGAAACCTGGTGTGTATCTGGTGTCAGGGTCAAGGTTATATGTACATTAACACGACAGATTTCAAGGTCATAAAACAAAGTAATTGTAATGATGATGATTAAACATTTAAGTCAGACTTACTCACTGATCTAAGGAATCTGATATTGTATAAAACAGTATTGTCCGCATAAATGTTAAAAAAATATGTGCTATTAATTATGTATTTATATATACATGTATCAGAACATTTTAAAAGGTAAAGTCCTATTGAAGACGTATTACATTTCATCAAATAATCTCTACGAACCCTTTACATACAACCTGCATATTAAGTGAATTCAAAGGCTGTATACTAACCTTTCTGTCGGAGTAGCCTTTAAACCCATCACTCTGTAACCACTCAGTCTGTACATGTATGACCCACTCATCCTACCAGCTGTAACCCTATCACATTGTATGCACCAGATCTGTACCAACTGTAACCCTATCACATTGTATGCACCAGATCTGTCCCAGCTGTAACCCTATCACATTGTATGCACCAGATTTGTACCAGCTGTAACCCTATCACATTGTATGCACCAGATCTGTACCAACTGTAACCCTATCACATTGTATGCAACAGATCTGTACCAGCTGTAACCCTATCACATTGTATGCACCAGATCTGTACCAACTGTAACCCTATCACATTGTCTGCACCAGATCTGTACCAGCTGTAAACCTATCACATCGTATGCAACAGATCTGTACCAACTGTAACCCTATCACATTGTATGCAACGGATCTGTACCAGCTGTAACCCTATCGCATTGTATGCACCAGATCTGTACCAGCTGTAGCCCTATCACATTGTATGCACCAGATTTGTACCAGCTGTAACCCTATCACATTATATCCACCAGATCTGTACCAGCTGTAACCATATCACATTGTATGCACCAGATCTGTCCCAGCTGTAACCCTATCACATTGTATGCACCAGATCTGTACCAGCTGTACAACCCCTTGCTCTTTATGTACTTGTTTTAAGCCCGCACACTGTATATACTTCCTTTAAGCCCTCATTCTGTATATACCTGCTGTAAGCCCTCATTCTGCATGAACTTGCTTTAAGCCCTCATTCTGTATATACCTGTTGTAAGCCCTCATTCTGCATGAACTTGCATTAAGCCCTCTTCTGCATGAACTTGCTTTAAGCCCTCATTCTTTGTACTGGCTCTAAGCCCTCATTCTCTACGTACATATTGTAACCCCTTTATCATGCTGTAAAGGATACAAGAAGACATCCTCAGTGTAGAAGATGTTGCTGTTAAAGACAAATGGCTGACCAGCACCTCGTCCGGACGTCCAAACACTATAGGGAGCATTCAGGACAGTGGTCACTGTAAGTAAAATCGCAAAAATGTTATGATAGAATATTGTAAGGAGCAAAGTTAAAGAGGACAGTGGTCAAGTGAATCAAAAAATTGATGTCACTTGATCTTTCTTTATCACCTAACAGTCCTTGTTCATTATGTTACCGAAAACAAACATCCCAAAACAAACTCTCTTAGAACCTAAATAGCGTGTCATCTTACCTTTCACTCTACATGCATTAAAGTACAATGTAGGCTAACACATTTCTCCTCTTTCTCTAGTTGCCTCTACTATTGGAACACATACAAAATGTAGCATCTACAGGGTAACAACATTACTGATAAAGAATCATTTTTATGTTTAGATTGATAACCAAGATGTAAATGATGTGTAGAAAATAACTTGTTAATGTACTGTATCCATTTCAGATGTATTTTGAAAAAGAAAGAAAAAATATGCCAAATACATGTATATTGTCATATCAAATGTGGATAAATGATATAAAATTTTCATTTTTAGAGTCAGAAATATTCAGTTTAAATGTGAAATCAAGTTTTGATATCAAAAATCTCACTACTGTAACATTGGAGTGTTTGAATATTGATGTAAAAATATATATTATAAATAGAACGAACCTTGTGTTCACGAGCAAAATGTATCCATCCCATTCAAGTCCAGGTTAGACAAGGCAGGACTCAGTACTTTATCAAGTGACAGTAAACCATGCTAAATCTTACTACAGAAATAACAAAATTACCTTGATTAACTTGTTCGCAAATAACTTTCTTAAATTCTTCCTTTTTCCTATTACAGTCACTTGGTGATCTCATAGCAGTAATCGACATTTAGCCTTGCTGAACTGTCTAGAGAAGAAGACTGATTAAAGAAACTTACCATTTCTCTGAGCGTAGTTACCAAAGATCGTGGAGAACTGGTAGGCCTCAGCATATGCACTAGTAGAGTCCACAATGGAGGACTGCCAAACAAAGTAATATGTTATTCATAGATAGATTTACCTTTAAATTAAGTTTGTAAAATATATTTGAATAACATATAATTCTTGTTCCAAAGAAATAGAATACCAAGAGTTTGTTATATATCACAAACTGATCTACCAGAATTCCTCTAGATCACATTTATTCAAAAAAAGATAACTTTACCTAATTTGTAATGATTTCTGCTATCCTGATACCTTTATCATCATTCTACTTTCAACCAAAGTACTGAAGCAAAATGCATTCATTTTGACTTAATCATCTGTTGAACTTTGTTTCCTTATCCTACACAAATCAATAACTAGTTTTTCAGTATTTGTATACCGTATGCAGTCTTTCATATAAACCTCAATTTCAGATCTACAGAGACTTACATTAAACCTGGTATCTAATCCTTTGTGATCAAGTGCTTGCTTCTGTTTGATACGTAGATCACCAAACACTTCATACATGGCCCCAGGTTTTACAGAATCATGGTTTATGTATGACATGGACTCCATTCCAAATGAGGAAAACCTCTGGAAATTAAAAATAGTAATTTTATAAGCCAATTAAATTTCACATCTGTTCAAAATAATACAAGGTCTTAAATCTGTAGATTACCTCATTCACCCCTGAAATTTTGTAATGAACAATTCCAACCTTTGATTTGGAAGAGCTCAAATGTGTCCAATGAGTCCATTATAATATATATATATAAAAATAATCAACAGAAACATTTCTGGTAATACGTTCGCTAGAGAATACATGTGTTTGTATATACTGGTAATAAGTTCACTAGAGAATACATGTGTTTGTATATACTGGTAATAAGTTCACTAGAGAATACATGTGTTTGTATATACTGGTAATAAGTTCACTAGAGAATACATGTGTTTGTATATACTGATAATAAGTTCACTAGAGAATACATGTGTTTGTATATACTGGTAATAGGTTCACTAGAGAATACATGCGTTTGTATATACTGGTAATAAAAAAACACATCCTGAATATCATTTGAAAACAACAACATGAAAAGCACAATTGACATAAATATGATTCAGGTAAATTAACCAAGTCAATATCAAGACATCCATGACACTAAAGGGGAGGTAACCTTGCATATTTAACACTTTATAATACCTCCAGTCTGTAGTCAAAGAAGAGGAGAAGTTTGATGCCTGTCACAGCTTCTGTATCCAACAGTGGCATCTCTATCTTCATGACAAGACCGTCATTCTTCCCATCTCCATTGGCGTCATCTTCTCTGGACTGCCATTTAAACATTAAACAGTGCAATTAGTTTTTGCAATTATGTAATTATTTTTATATAAACTGCATAGTTTTATATACAATCAGATTTGGCATACAGCATAATGTTGTGTTTTTTTTACAGTTTTTAAATCATGAACTCCTAAACAATGGTTTCATGAAAAAAGATACTGCATATTCTTAAATCATTGTGTACCTAAGTCCTAGCTTATAAACAAAATTCATAAATTTTGTAGAGTTTTATTGTAAAGCATCTTAGGGATTTTTTTCTTCATGTGGCCAAAACAAAACCTTGCAATCTGACCAACCCTTTGTTTATATGCCAACCCAATTACATTTCGAAAATTCTAGAAATAATTAGATATTCTAGATTTTCATTTATAAATATTCCTTTTTTTCCCTGGAGAAAATAGAAAATAAAATGGTGGCTCCGATAGTGTGTGCAATTAGCAGGTGCAAAAGGAATTTTAATTGACACTATCAACTGATATCCTCAGAAAATTATATTCTTCTTTTCTATAGTTTTTCAAAGGTTTTATTGTCATTATCAATGACTTCATTGATGTCATATTCATGATTATTCAGACCTTTCATAGAGTGTATTTTTAACAAATCGAGTATTCAATAAAGTACTAAAATGATTATGCACTATGCACCTCAACCAGTTTTCAGTATTGTGATACTAAATTAATAAATAAAAAAAAAACAAAAAAAAACAAGGCTGAATAAAAAGTTTCTTTTGCCATATAACAGGAAAATGACATATTTTGTTTGGCCTGAACACCTACCTGTATGACAGGAACCCTGAGGTTCTGTTGTTGTAATTCATTGTATCTCTGGAAGGTAGAATAAGTCAAGTAACTCAAACCAGCATTGGAAGGATTTGCCAACTCAAGGGTTAGGATCAGTTCCTTCTTGAATAAAACACGAGGAGTTTCCCTGTAGTAATCCTCCTTGATCCAGAATCCTGGACAGTAAACAAAAGAACTTTATATGAGAACTGAATATCACTGACGTTAAGATCTGAGCTATATGTAACGGCAGACATTATTAGGAATATTATTGATATCAATTAAAACATAGCTATATAAACCAAATACATATATATACAATCATGAAATAGACAGTTTTCAGCCTAAATAGATAATAAAATGTTGATGTTAGCATTTCAATATAGTTTTTTTGAAGTTTGACTAAATCTGGAGAACACCAGGTACTAGAATTGTCTGTCAATAAATACCCATAATATATACAAGGTTGCTTAATTACTCCTTCCCCTAGTAAAATGACTCTATTCCAGTAAAAAAAAAAATCATAACTGTTCATAATATGACACCACGAGCAGCCAAGATTGACAGGAAAATATTTTTCTTGAATTTGATGTATGATTTACCATATATCTTGCCAGAGTTTCCTCTGGCCCTGACACCAAACTTAAGACATTTTGACATATAGAAGTCTGGTGTGGGGCCAGAGCCCACTGCTATATGAAAGCATGGAATTCTTCGACACCTAGCCGGAGTTTCCTCTGGCCCGGGCACCAGACTTAGACATTTTGACAGATAGATGTCTGGTGTGGGGCCAGAGTGCACTACTAAATATAAAAACGTGGAATTCTCCGACACTGTTTGGTATCTGGGAGTTATGAGGTGCTGACAACAAAAATCTCCTATGACACAACACATACCTCACATATATATCGATAAATGGATAATTTATTGAACCAAATCAGCTTTTATTATCACCAACAGCTGCTTAAATTCCGTCAGTAGAGTCCTCGATTTTCAACCGTTCAAATTGTCCCACCTGAGGCTGAGCGAATGCCATTTTTGTAGGTCATGGGGGGTGACTAATCAACAATCAGTACTGATCCTAATATATTAGTCTTGCTTTAAAGATTTCCAGACCGCACCTTTTTGTTCATTAGTAACTCCCCGATACCAAACGGTGTCGGAGAATTCCATGTTTTCATACAGAAGTGTGCTCTGGCCCCACACCAGACATTTATCTGTCAAAATGTCGAGGTCTGGTGTCGGGGCCAGAGGAAACTCAGACTACCATATATCATTGCAGTATAATTTTCGGTCTAGACTTCATGAAACATAGAAATATGGTTGAATTTCAGTTAGTCAGACACTGTGTGGTGTCTTCAGGATGACAGGGGAAATCTCTAGTGTGTACGCTGATTGGTAAGTCATATTTAGAAGCAAAACAGCGTTGAGGTCACGAAAATGTCTATCTCCATTCAGATTTATGATCGTCAACCTGACCAGTTTGAAAACTGGACTCTTGTGTCCAACACGATATAAGGACATGAACTACATACACGTAAAATACAAGTACATGTAAGTTTGTTTCCTATCATAGAAACACTGTACAGTCATTGAATGGTTTCATGTTTTGCGCAGTCTATCGAAAAATCATACTGCATGATTTATGGTAAATCATACATCAATTAAAGAAAAAAATCCAGTTGATATAGACTGCTCCTAGTCCTACATGTAGGGTCATATTTGGCTGTGATAACGTAGCTCTGGACGACCGATTTCTGATAGATGGTCGTCGTCAGACGCGGAGAGTAGCTAGGCAGGGTATGAATATTCGTTCTAGGTCATATTATGAACGGTTATGACAAACTCGCATGTTTTCTGGAAAGAGGTCATTTTACTAGGGGGTAGAGTTATCAACCTTGTTTATATTTTGGGTTTATTGACAGACTCACTTCATGTGAAGGGGACGTTCTGACTGAGGAGCAGACTATTCAGCCATAGTTATTTCGGATTACCATCTATGGGGATAAAAAAAAGTTCATATAGTGAGCGGTCTGGAGCTAATTAACAGAGCTAAAACTACTGCTTGTGTTTATGGTAAAGATAGTGTTTAAACCATTCCGTCCATAAATTGTCTATTAGCTGTAACAGGTCACTGGCAGTATTAGGACTGTTGATGTTTTGAGGAAAAACATGCTTTGACACGATGTCGGAGATATCAATAATGAAGTGTCTCTAATTAAAGCGAGTGGGTGACTATCTTACCGTAACTTCTGTAAACGACGAACAGTGGTGGAATAAATGTTACAAATAAAACCACAAACATCAAAAGGGTGGCCTTCGTACACAGATGAGTCTTGTACCGCCTCAGCTCTGGGTGAGCGAATACCTCGTAGACCGCCATTTTCAAACAATGTGGTACCGGGCGGAATAGTATGCTTGTCGTGGATTGGTTGAATTTAGACAGGAGTAATGTAATAATAAAGCCCGCGTCGAAAGTATGCGGATCCCTTTGGTGAAATGTAACATTAACCTCTTACACCTGATTGCGTATTATATTTATTTGAGCTCTTACAGACAGAGACAGAAACATTAATCAATATGAATAATAATACCTGTGAAGAGCTGGAATATGTTTCAGATATTATTGTCTTGTAATTTTATTTATAATCTAGCTACTGTAATATAATAAGTATCTCCACACACTGTTTGAGGAGAGTAGATCAACAAAACATACCTTTGCTTTTGCTAATATGAACGGATTAATACGTGTGCAAGTTCAAAATTTTCAAACACTATGTATTTTTACAAAAAGGTTTCCACAATTATTTTTGTAAACAATATAGCACAAAATTGTACATATACTCGTGTTTATAAACATTGTTCATTACCGGTGCAGAGCTGGAACATGTTTCAGATATTATTGTCTTGTAATTTTATTTATAATCTATAGCTACTGTAATATAATAAGTATCTCCACACACTGTTTGAGCAGAGGAGATTAACAAAACTTACCTTTGCTTTTACTAATGTGAACAGAATAATATGTTTGAGTTGAACATTTCAAACACTCTGAAACTTGATATTAGTGAAGTGTGTATTTTTGTAAACAATATAGCATAAAATTGTACATATACTCGTGTTTATAAATATATAGTTCATTACCTGTGCAGAGCTGGAACATGTTTCAGATAATTATTGTCTTGAAATTTTTAATTTATAATCTACTGTAATATACTAAGTATCTCCACACACTGTTTGAGGAGAGTAGTGCTAATGTGTACAGAATAATATGTGTGAGTTAAAATTTTCAAATTTGAGTGTGGTAAAAAATACAATGGCACTTTCATTAGCATCAGTATTAAGATCTCTACGATCAGTGGGTGACATAATTGAGATTTATTTTTAATTTTTATTATTTTTGATTATATTTTCAAAATGTTATGACCTAGACATATATATAAATATACATACAATGTGCATGACCATCTAGAATCGCCTTTAAATAATGTACATACTGTTCAAAATATTCTATCAAGTATCAGTATTCGTCATACATATATATTAATTAACAAATAAGTAAAAATTCACATTTTTGATATAAAAATAAACTTCCGGATATTCTTGTCCGTACTCTATTCTAATTATTATTGTGTTATAATGTAGTGTCTGATTTCCGGTTAGAGTCACGATGGTGAACAGACTTCGCACAAACGCTATTCGCACTGTTCTTCCAGTCGTTGTAAGTCTTAGACTTGTGATAATAATATTAATAATATTGTATTATATTGACCATATACCTTAATTGAGATTAATTAATCTGTGATATGAAGTGAACGCTATATGGAAGTACATGCACTTGTGGTTATGGAGATGGCCAAACTAGTCTTTTTCTTGTGTAATTAGGTTGTATTCAAATCCCAATTTTAGTATGACTATTTACTTATTCTATTTGCCTTTCTTTTTTCTCTTTCTATGTCTTACCCTTCTTCTATTTTCTATCTCCGCTGCCAGACTAGTTGTTCCAGTCAGTAGGCCTTGCACATGTCCAGGTTAATGGAAGGTATTAAAATATTATCGGCAAATTGTCAGGGATTGGGTGATAAAACCAAGAGAAAGGATGTTTTTTCATATTTAAGGTCTAAAGATTTTAATATCTATTGTATACAAGATACTCATTTTACTGAAGAAATTGAAGGAATAATTAGGACAGAGTGGGGATATGAGTGTTACTTTAACTCTCTGAGGTCAAATTCTAGGGGGGTTGCAATATTATTTAATAATAATTTTGAGGTGAAGGTTTTAAAGGTTAAAAAGGATTTGACTGGGAATTTCATAGCATTAGATTTAGAAATAGAAGGGAAACAAATTACACTTATAAATATCTATGGGCCAAATTCAGATACTCCATCTTTTTATGACAACATAGTAGAATCAATAGATACTTTTAAAAATGAATGTTTTATAATATGTGGAGATTTTAACTTAGTATTAAACCCTGAAATTGATTATGATAAAAGCTATAAAAATATCAATAACCCAAAAGCTAGAGAAAATATCTTACAAATAATTGAAGAGTTAGGAATGGTTGATGTTTATAGGGAACAGAATCCTGATAATAAAAGATATACATGGAGAAGAAGTAATCCAATTAAACAAGCCCGCCTAGATTTTTTTCTCATTTCTGAAAACTTACTACCTAGTGTAAATAAAACTGATATTGAGCCAGGATACAGATCTGACCATTCTATACCATTTATTATATTAAAATTTAATGAATTTAAGAAGGGGAAAGGACTATGGAAGTTTAACAATTCTTTATTGCATGATTTAGACTATCTTGAAATTGTAAACAAAATTATTTTAGACGTTAAAACCCAATATGCTCTTCCAGTGTATAATCCACACAATATATCCAATATTCTGGACTCTGAGATCCAATTCGTTATAGATGATCAGCTGTTTTTTGAAACGTTATTAATAGAAATTAGAGGGAAAACTATTTCATATGCTTCACATAAGAAAAAACAACAGAACCATTTAGAAAACAATTTAAAAGATATTATAAAACATTTAGAATCGGTTGAAAATATTGATTTTGATAAATTAAAGGAGAAAAAACAAGAATTAGAAAATATAAGATTACATAAACTAAGAGGTAGCATTATTAGATCTAAAGCTAAATGGGTTGAAGAGGGAGAAAAGCCAACTAACTACTTTTTTAATCTCGAAAACAGAAATTATACCTCAAAAATAATTCCAAAAATAGAAAAAGAAAATGGGGATATAATAACTAATCAAAATGAGATACTTAAAGAAGTTAAATTATTTTATGAGTCTTTATATACCAATGATGATAATATAGATGATGTTAATTTAGACAACTTTTTACATGACTTTCATGTTCCTAAACTGAATAATATAGAATCTGATAGTTTAGAGGGCATTATAACTCTTAAAGAAGCATCACATACATTAAATAATATGAAAAATGGGAAAAGCCCTGGTTCTGATGGTTTTACGGTTGAATTTTTAAAATGTTTCTGGAAACAGCTGAATAACTTTATAGTGAGATCAATCAATTTTGGTTACGCTAATGGACAATTGTCAGTTACACAAAGACAGGGAATAATAACATGTATACCTAAAGGGGATAAACCAAGACAGTTTCTAAAAAATTGGCGACCAATTTCTCTTCTGAATATTATATATAAAATTGCATCAGGGTCAATAGCAGGGAGAATAAAAACAGTCTTAAATAGTATAATAAACACAGATCAAACAGGTTTTATTTCGGGTCGTTATGTTGGGGAGAATACTAGGTTAATTTATGATGTCATGCAATATACAGATGAAAATAATATACCAGGAATGTTGTTAATTATAGATTTTGAAAAGGCTTTCGACTCAGTGTCCTGGAAATTTATTGAAAAAGTTCTTGATTATTTTAAATTTGGCAATGGCATAAAAAAATGGGTAAAAGTCTTTCATACAAACGCAAAGTCTGCAATAAATCAAGGGGGAAATTTATCATCTTTTTTCGATATTAAAAGAGGTTGCAGGCAAGGGGATCCAATAGCTCCATATATATTCATATTATGCGCTGAAATTTTAGCTGTAAGACTGAGAAATAATAAACATATAAATGGTATTAATATTGACAATTGCCCGCTTTTACTTTCCCAGTATGCTGATGACACTACATTGATTTTAGATGGCACACAAATTTCATTAAAAGAGGCAATTAAAGAATTGAAAAGTTTTGCAAATATTTCTGGACTCAAAATAAACATAGAAAAGACACATGTTATTTGGATAGGTAGTAAAAAATACAGTGATGAAATTCTTTATCCTGAATTGAATTTGCAGTGGGGGGATAGGAAATTTACACTTTTAGGTATTGAGTTTGATGTAGATTTACATAGGATAACAAAATTGAATTACGATAAGAAATTTGTAAAACTCAAAACTTTGATTAAAACCTGGAAAAGAAGATTGTTGACTCCTATTGGTAGGATACATATCATAAAATCATTATTAATTTCACAATTCAACCACCTTTTTATCTCTTTACCAAATCCAGATGATTGTTTTCTTAAAAAATTAAATATAGAGCTTTTTAATTTTCTGTGGAATAGTAAAATAGATAAAGCTAAGAGAGATGTCATTGTTAAAGATTATGTAAAAGGGGGTCTTAAAATGTTACATGTACAGTCGTTTATTGACTCGTTAAAATTAACGTGGGTTAGGAGGTTATATATGAATTCTGGTAAATGGCAAGTGATCTTAAAATTATATTGTGATAAAAACATTCTGGCAAATTGTGGAACTGATTATATTTCAAAATGTCAAAATAAAACTAAAAATCTATTTTGGATTGATGTATTTAGGGCATGGAGAAAAATTATTGAAAAATATAAGTCCCCTAGCAGTAATTTCAAAATGCCCATCTGGTATAATAAAAATATTTCAATAGAAAATAGAAGTATATTTTACAGGGAATGGTACAATAAAGGAATAATTGTAATTGATGATCTAATCAGAGACAGAAATACCAATGCTTTTTACACATTTCAAGAATTCAAACAGATTTATGATATTAATACAAACTTTTTGCGATACCAGGGTCTAATTACTGCCATTAGAGAGTATATTATACAACAAGATATGTCAAATGTAGAGGTTAACTATCCATTTTTACCAATTAATATAGAAATGTTTTTGAAAAACAAAAAGGGGATAAGAGATTTTTATAGCTTATTTTGTAAAAATGATACTATTTCAACAGGTAAAAAAAAATGGGATGATATATTTCAATTTGATGATGAAGTTTGGAAAAAAATATATATAATGCCATTTAGAATTACGAAAAATACCAAATTACAGTGGTTCCAGTACAGAATTAATCAGCACATTTTGACAACTAATGCATATTTGTTTAAGG